CCCTCGGCCGCCCCGACGAGGCAGGCGTCCGACGATGCGCCCCGCGCCCACAACCACTCAGCCTGCTGGCCATGGTCGACTGCTGGGCCCAACTGGGCATCGTGCCGTACAATCACATGGTGTGCTCGACGCCGCTGTTCCGGCTGTGGCTCGGCGTCACGGAGCACGTGTTCCGCAGCCCCGGCGTGCTCGAGGACGCGCTGCGCGTCGCCATTGACGATCTCCGGTACCGATCGGACGATCTCGAGTTTACGTTCGCGGCGCGGGGCTGGGCGGAGAGCGTGTCACTGGGTAACTTTGAGACGTGGAAGAACCGGTTCGAGACGACGCAGGCGTTCTTCGAGCCGCGCTTCAAGGAGGCGGGCGTGGTCGGCAATGCCATGATGAAGGCTGTGTTTGAGAGCTCGAAGTAGATTCTCGGGGAAAGTCCATGACGACTATTTGCGGGGGGTCTTTGGTTCCGTCATCATCGTCCATCGCGTCGTATACTATGTTCACACCAACTGCAGCGCATGTTTTTTTACCCTTCAGTGCCTCAACTTAGACTTGATGTGCGATTCACCTGCCTGATCCTCAAAGCCACCTGGTTGTATTGGTTCGAGGAGGCCACATCAACACCTCGGATGTTGTGCTCTGTTCAATCGACAATCGCGGTACTGCTGGAACGACTACCCTCGCGCTCTTGATAACTAGGCGTATATTTTGCTAGCGAACAATTTCTCGGGTGCGATTTTGAAGGTCTTCACTGGAAACCAATGCATGTTAGCTTGTGCGAGGGATTTTTTGTTGATAGGGGCGATGTTCATGCGTCGTCGTCGGAGCAGGGAACTCGTCAAACCTGAGTTGGTATCTATATAAACTATACTGGGTCTTTTGACCACATTAATGGCTGCCTGAGCGAGGAACATGGCGATCCTAGCGTGTGTCATTCTTCCCAACACAGGAAGAGGTGTCATCGCTTGTTCGGTGCATGTTTGATGGTCTGGAGGCAAACGATGTTTTAGCTCTTGTGCTCGGTCGAGCCGTTGCACATTCACTCGACATACGACGCTTTGGTTCCAGTGCCTTCCTTCTCAGTCGCCGTACCCAACTTTTGTTCCTGCCTTCGCGTCCTCGAGCCCCAGGTTGCGCTTTCCACTGCCAGACCAGTCAAAAACTTTATCCAGAACAACGACCCGGGTGCTCTTCCCCGATATAACTGCTCAACCTCTCACTCATGTCTGCACTGGCCGCCTTGGAGCTCTGAGTATCGACATGCAGCCTCAACAGCCTCACTCCAAGACTGTGGGCACCACGCCCCGTTTTGGCAACGACGATACCAACAAACATTTTTTTACCTCAGACTACCTGCGTTCAAGACACAAACTGCTGTATATCCGTTCGGGCAGCATGATTCTGGGCCGACCGAGCAAGGGCGCGACACTGACATGACCACCGATATCAGCAACAGCAGGGATGGCAGTAGCAGACTGTTAACCGATACCGATGACAAAACGTATGTCTCTTTCGCAGCGAAACATTCTCTTGCGAACCGTGATTAGAATGCTGACGGCAAGCATACCAGTGGAGGCAGTGGTGCAGCCAACTCCAATCTCAGCAACCCGCGAACACTGCATGACAGCCAGTCTCCTCAGTCGCCTACCAACACGGCGATGTCTGTGCATGCCTGTTCTCTCGAGTCGTCAGAGGCCGATGGGCATGTTGAGGAAACGCCTCTTCCAAGGCCTTCGCCGCCTGCCTTCCCGCCGCGTCGGCAGTTCAAAGCATCATGCACGCATCCGACCATGACGCGTGTCTATGGTGTCAACCACCGTTGCGATACATGTGGTTCGTACCCTCCTTTTGGATGGCTTTACCGTTGCACGCAAGACCGCGAGGAACTCTTGCGCCAAATGATCCATGTCGGTAGCGAGGTAAGATTCTTGTACCATCAATTCAAGGGCCCAGCACGAGGCTGACGTTCTGTAGCAAGCCACATTCGATGATCTGGGAAGAAAGCTCATTGACCTTGTCAAGCCCCGACCCCGCGGCCCCGAGACAAGAATAGACACCATCGGCAGCTTCTTCAGCGAGATCACGCCTGAGCAGCTACAAACCTACCGTCCCGACCAGATCGCTGTCATCCTGAAGCAGCGCGAAAATGTCAAAACTGTCCTCCGGCAGGATGCAGCGAAGAAGCAGAACGAGGCCGAGCAGCAGCTGTCTGCCTTGCAGGCCATGCGCCACAGCCACTTTGACGCCGTTGGATTCCACTCATCGCCTTCCCCTTCAGCGCCCGGACTGGACGAAGTCCGATGGCAAGAGTTGGAGCGCGAGCGGCCATGGATTCCCCACCCTGAGATGGAGTGCACGTTCAAGGTGTGCCAACAATGTCGTCCGAGCGGCGCCGACCGGATCTCCATGAGTCTCGACGGCATTGTCAAGGGTGATGTTCCGGCCACGGCAGCCACGGGGTTCGGCTTTCATAATTTCGGCCAGCGGCCAGTGTGCGATATATCGGTGGTCGCCAGATTGGGCCTGGCGCAGTCTGCGACACGCTTTTTCGAGAACGACGAGCATGATGCGCCCATGGGGTCGTCGGTGATGGGGACGCCGAGCTCGGATGGGTACTCGATGACCAACCTCGACGATCTCATGGCACGGCACGAACAGCAGTTCCGGGAATGGCAGCAGCTGAGGCAGCAGGGACGTAGCGGAGGCAGCTTTGCCATGCCGTCGTCCAACGAAAAGGGCCATCTACCACGCTCGCCAGGCTCGCCGGACCTGAAGCACGTGGCGGAAACGGACATGGAAGTGCATGAGATGGAGACGGGCGAGTTTGAGTCGGCCCCACTCGTGGTCAACGACGGCATTGCGGTGCTCGAAGAGAGCCTAGAGCTGCACGTGCCAGATGTTGTTACCCAGGTTTAGGCCGGGTTGTTCGGGATGGACGGAGGCGTGTCATCGTTGCATCAATGGGAGGAACTAGATCGGTTGTGTTCCGGCAGATGTCATCGGCAGAGGAGAATGGACAGGAAGCGAGGTGACCATAGCCGTCCACGGTCCGGATGACAGGTCTGGTTCGCAGTTGGATGGATGGTCGTGAGGCTCGCCGCGTTGTTGAGGAGATACCCTGTAGGAAGACCAGAGGATGTCACGGTCCTGCACATCAAGTGATAGCAAGTACATGAACATGAACTACATGGTAGCTTTGTGCTCGTGACTGAACGCGAGGGCTCGTTGCAGGCACGTCACGGTCTTACTCGGAGCGGAGGGGCACGGCAAGGAAAAGCATGAAATTCGTCATTAGCCATGGGGAAGACAACCTGGGGCGCATGATGTTGGGTCAGACAGACAACAGAGAAGATTGGACCGCGGCTCCGATCTCTCATGTTGAGGGGTGAGCAGTGCCCCTGGTGGAGACGTTGCCAGCGTGTCTTGGCCCGATCCCCTCAAAACAAACCGAGGGACAACGGGCCAAGCAACCAATCATGTAGCTCCCCGAAAGGTCCAGTTCTGATGCTGCACCTCAATGCCCCGGGTTGGCAACCTGGCATGCCAGGCTGCTAGTCCAGCGTAGGCCTGGCCCCCCCTAAAAGCCCACCCGCCTAGCAAGCTGCGACCTAGCTAGACCACAGCCAGCCAGCCCCCAGACCAAGCAGACCGAGCTGGGACTCCCCCATTCGCGAACCCGCCGCTAAAGAGAAGAGAGGCAGAGAGACAGCAACCAGACAGGCAAGGCAAGGCAAAGCACAGAGCAAGGACCCCTTCCCACCCAACCTCACCTCCTCCATCCTCCCACTTTTGCGCCCAACCCTTTTTCCGACGCAGCGCGCAATTGCCTCGACGAAGAACGAAGAGTACGTGACGCCCTTTCTTTTCCGAGCGAGTCGATCGAGTTGCGAGACGGTCGAGACTGGCGGTCTGCGTCTGTTTTGGTATCGACAACTGGGGGAAGCGGCGCGCCTGTGTTGGTGGACTGGCGGTCGGCTGAGCGACGCGGTAAACAAATCCACTCCGACTCGGCCACGACACTTTGGACGCCACGACGGACGACATCACGAAAACCCGCCCCCATCACCAGCCCGCCTCCAGCAGACCCAAGAGACATCTGCCGCCCCTTCTCCATCTCGCAACAATCCATTGTCGATTCGGAACGACATCCTACGTCACTGCACATTCCGTGCGGGCCATGAGCTGACACCTACACTCATTAGATCTACCCTTTGTATTCGCGATCGACCCCCCCGACGCCCCTCCTGCCGATCGAGGAGAACCCCCTGCGCACCAAGATGCTGACGGCCGGCACCCTCGCCGGCGCCCAGGAGCTCATCGCCTCCTTCCTCGCCAAGGACCGCAACAAGCACGGCAACTACTTCACCTCGCGCGTCCCCAAGATGGCCGCCTACGGCGCCCTCGTCAGCGCGCCCCTCGGCCACTTCCTCATCTGGCTGCTGCAGAAGACCTTTGCCGGCCGCACCAGCCTGCGCGCCAAGATTCTGCAGATTATCGTCAGCAACCTCATTGTGCGTCTTCCTGCCCTCTGCCCCCGCGGCATGCTGCCTCTATGTGCAGTTCTTTTTTTTTTTTTTTTTTTTCCTTTATTGTTTTCGTCTGTGCCGCATGCTGACAGGCCCACTAGATCGCGCCCATCCAAAACTCCGTCTACCTCACGGCCATGGCCCTCATCGCCGGCGCCCGCACCTTCCACCAGGTGCGCGCCACCGTCAAGGTCGGCTTCTGGAAGGTCATGAAGGTCAGCTGGGTCACCTCGCCCGTCTGCCTCGCCTTTGCCCAAAAGTTCCTCCCCGACCAGCTCTGGGTGCCCTTCTTCAACCTCGTCGCCTTTGTCATCGGCACCTACATCAACACGGTCACCAAGAAGAAGCGCCTCGCCGCCCTGCGCAAGAAGCACTTTGGCGACGGCCGCAACCAGGGCGGCCTCGGCGGCGGCAGGCCCGAGGACTACCCCCCGACCATGGGCGGCCAGAACCCCCCCTACTAAGCCTAAGCGGTCTCTTCGGTGCAACCGGCTGTTGGGGGTCTCCTCCCGAAGTAGGGGATCCTGACTGCGATGGCCGGGTAGGAAGAGGAGGGGAGGAAAGCAGCCCGGTGGAAGGCGTAATACACGACAGCCAGGGTGGCCAAAACGAGGAGGGGAGGAAGGGGAACAAGGGGAGGATGATGGCGAAAGACATAGGGCGGAGGATGAAGACATGGGGGCGGGCCTGGAAACTATCCGCTGACGGGACGCTCTTGTATATTTGTTGGATGTTTTCTGGCTATCTCTTGTCATGGCCTGTCGATGATGGGTGATAGTACAATGCTGCGTTTGGTTCGACAAGATGTTCCCCCTGGCGTGCGCGCGTGTGTGGAATGTGTCGTTCTTCGTCTATGTCTTCGTGGGTATCGTGCAATCCGATCTATATCGGGCGTGGCCATCTACCGGAGAGTCTTTCTCGCATGTCCACAGTTGGTTCGTGATGCGTTTCGCACCATGACGTCTTCGCTCTGGCGGGAGAGGCGTCAGCACTCTCTCTTCTCCAACCTCACGTCGCTCTCGGCGACTTGCTTGGAGGGATGCCCAGCCTCACGGTGCGTCGTCAACTCGTCGAGTCGTCAAATCATGGCTCATCTCCTGCCCCTCGCTCAGTCGCCATGAGACCCCTCGTCCAGCATGAACCCCGGGCTCCAGTACTCCCACTCGACCGGGCTCTGCTTGTCCACCCACAGCATGCCCTCGCCGAGCAGGTCCTCCACCGCCGTCACGGCCCTCGCCCTCGGCCACCCCAGGTTCGCCATCAACATGCCGACGCTCACGTAGCCGAGCACCTGCACCGCCTCGAGCACGGCGCTCTGGTCCGTGTTGAGCTCCTTCGGCACGCTCCGTATATAGCTCTTGCTGCCGACCCTGAGCACGGCAAAGGCGCCGCCGAGCGGCTTCAGCGTGCCGACGGCCCGCAGCACGTCGTCGTCCGTCACCTCGGGCGCGCCCTCGGGGCGGCCCTTAGCTATTCCCTCACGCACCTCCAGCGGGGCGGAGAGCGAACATCGTCGGTGAGCGGATAGCAGCCTATTCTTTATGTAGTTGCTAGGATTATAATAAAGATAAAAATTAAGAAAGAAAGAGGGACG